TATATATATAAATAAAGAGCTCTGGTAGCATAGTGGTTACAAATCAGGCTGTGAACCACAAGGTCAGCAGTTTGAAACTACCAGCTGCTCCGCAGGAGAAAGATGAGGCTTTCTGCTTCTGTAAAGATTTACAGCCTCAGAAACCCTGTACAGGGTCACTATGAGTCAAAACCAACTCCACGGCACATAACAACAACATATATAGAAATATGCAAAGTAAACAGACCTATAAGTCTGAAAATAGAGAGTTGCAACAACAATAACAAAAGCCACAAAGTAAAAAGAGGGAATAGTGCAGTTACAGAACTTCCAAATGCAGAGGAAATCAAATAGATTTCAATAAAAAAATAAAAATTAACCTAGCTGTAACCCTAACTGAGTCCTGGTGTGGCACCATGGGTTAATGTGCCGGACTGCAAAATCGGTTTGAGCCACAGGGTCGGCGGTTCAAGCTCACAAGCTGTTCCTCAGAAACCCTATATAAGGTTGCTACGGGTCAGAACCAACTCGACGGCACTGAACACCAACAACTCTTATCATAGGGCTGTGGAGAGGGTTACATGAGTGCTCAGAATAGTGCTGACAGTTGTCGTCTGCTTACATGCCTGCCCTCCACAAAGTCCATCCAAGGCCTCTGTTTTTGCAGAAGTGAGGGAGACGTTGCACTTCATTATAAAGTTGTGGTGGTTGGTTATGTGCCGTGGAGTCGGTTTTGATTCATAGTGACCCTGTACAGGGTTTTCGAGGCTGTAAATCTTTACGGGAGCAGAAAGCCTCAGCTTTCTCCTGTGGAACAGCTGGTAGTTTCGAATTGCTGACCTTAAGGTTCACAGCCCACTACAATGGGGGGTGGGAGACTGGCAGTCTTCAAGCTCAGAGCTTCTGTTAGTTGGAGATGGAAGCTACTTGTTGGTTTGTCACACCCAGGCACTTACCACAGCAGAGATGTTTTCATGGTAATGCTTGTAAGTGTAGCCTTCTTGCATCATAATGGTGCCCAAAGCTTCCAGGACTGAGGCACTGAGGTAAAAGAGGGCAGCGACAGAGTGGTAGGCTGCATCCTGCAGGGTTAGGAGAGACATCAAAGATGAAGGAGAGATATAACCGGGCTGCTGTGTGGAGATAATGGGTGGCAGCTGTGGTCCCAGCAAGACTCACTGAGCCCTCACTCCCAACCTGCATGGCTCAGGCTTTTTCCTTATCTTCTGCTACCTCCTTTTAGTTCTACTCCTCGTCTCTCTTCCTAACATGAGTACAGTGCTCTCCTCTGAGCTAGCTAACAAGCACTGCCCACTGAGTTTAATAGGTCCAGGTGGTGCAGTGGGTTAAGTGTTGGACTGCTAACTGCAAGGTTGGCAGTTCAAATCCATCAGCTGTTCCACAGGAGAAAGATGAGGCTGTCTGCTTCTGTAATGATGTAGTCTCAGAAACCCTATGAAGCCACTCTCTTCTGTCCTATGCGATCATTATGTATTAGGATCGACTTGATTGCAGTGGGTTTTTTTTGTGTGTGTGTTTATTGGTTTGGGGCCAGAGTGAAGACTTTGATGCTGTTTTCTCTTGAGGTGAGGGCAAGAAAGAGTTGGGGGTTAGCTTGTGGTTTTAATAGGTGGAAACTGGTCCTGAGAAATGTCAGATGTACTCACAGTCCTGGCTTGAATGCAGTGTGGAGAGTGACCAGTGCAGGCTGAGTGGGGCCCACACCCTTTACATTGTCTAGATGTGTTTGTTTTATTTTATTTCTAGATTCCTAGTATGTTTAAAAACAAAGTTCTAAAACAGGGTTTCTTTTGTAGTTGTGATTTAGAGGTGATTTCAAAAGTCAAGTCTGAGAGCTGTTGAGAGGGACAGTTTGGCCCCTGGTCCCTCCCTTCCGTGGTAGATAACATGCTGAGTCCCAGACCTGCTGTCATTGAGTTCATCCGGACTCATGATAACCCAATGTTTCTGAGTAGAACTGCTCCACAAGGTTATCTTGGCTGTAATTTTAATGGAGAGATTTCACCAGGTCTTTCTTCTATGGAGCAGCTGGGTAGGTTTGAACCACTAACCTTTTTGGTTAGCAGACAATTGCAAACAGTTTTTACCATAGTGGGCTTTACCTTTTCATGGGTCTCAAAGCAGAATTTATACACAATAAAGACCACAGGCCAATCCCCAAACCCCAGATCTTTCTCTGATAAACCTGCTTTAAAAGGCAGAGTCAGGGGCCAGCAGTAATGTGGCTTCATCACTGCAGGGCTAAAGCCAGTCCCCTGGAGTTGTCCACAAGCATCCACCTCCAACCTCCAGGATGATGGCAGGTGGTCTGGGGGGAGGTTGGGATGCTAGCTATCCAGGAAGAAGGTAGACATATAGGAGAAAGCAGGCAGGTTTCACAAGAACCATGCAGTGAACTAAGAGCACCCTCTACCCTCCTTCAGAGTCCCTTGTTGCAGAAGCTCCAGGCTGCTCTGGACAGCTCTGAGACAAAGGCTTGGGCCTGCTCAGCCTTGGAAGTGTGGGAAAAGTCAGCCTACAGGGAGCAAGAGAGTGCAAACCTACATGTCCCCCATCAAGTACCCCTAAGTTGGAACTCACCAGAGTGACCCAAAAAGTCTCCCCACCATGGGCGCCCATCATGTACAGGATGAGCAGGACAGTGGTTGCTACGAAGCAGAATACAGACACGAACATCACCCAGCCCTGGATCAGGGGGATGGGTACCAAGGACGAGGCGATCAGGATCCATACCAGGCCTCCAAAGACCTGCAGAGAATGGAGGCAGAGGGTGAGTGCCAGAGAAGGGTCCCACCAAGAGTCACAGCAGGTCACTAGGGATGCAGAAAAATGGAAAAGTGGTGGGTACTCTCCTTAACTAGAGTCACACTTTCATCTCTACCCCACTCCGCCCCCAAATTCAAGGCTGGATCTCCAATCTCAGACTTCCCAATACCCTGGTGACTTGTTTTTATTTATTTTTTCAAAATACAATATCTAGTCTTCAAGCAGCTTGAACTGGTTTAGCTGTGGGCTATGCAATGAAATCAGAACAGACCCAAATCTGTAAAATGCGGTTGAACCAAAAAGATAACTAGAATGAGAAAAACTACCAGTCAAAACCCTGGAATGAGAGACTCCAAAGAAGCATAGTGAGTGCTCTCAGCAGCTCTGATGGGGGAAACTGAAATCCTGCCAGAATGGTGGAGAGTGACAAACACTGAACGCAACATGACCAGCCACCATCTTTGAGCCAACCACACGTTCTGACTCTCCTGTAAAGGGATTTGGTTACTGTTCAACACACACTGCCCTTGTTTTCTAGGAGGGAGATTAAGTTTCTACTAGGGCATTGACACATATTTTTTTTTCCTGTTTCGGTTATCATTCCCATATATCCACATTTTACTAATTTGGATTCAGTCCGAATTTCACTTTGTCATCCATGACTGAACCCAGAAGAACTGGTTTGATGGATCCATCTAGTTTTGCTGTTGCTGTTAAGTGCTGTTGACCCATAGAAACCCTGTATAGGATTTCTGGGAAATGGCTGGTGGGTTCGAACCTCCAACCTTTTAGTTCAAACAGACCTTGAGGTCCAGTGCTCACCATACAGCACCACCAGTTATATATCTAGCTTTAAATCACACTTATCTTATTTTAGGCACTCTCCTAAGACTTTACAAATACTAATTCAGCTAATCCTCACAACAACCCTATGAAGGAGATATTGTTATTGCCCCCATTTGTCAGATGTGGTAATTGAGGCACATGCAAGTTAAGTGACTTGGTATCACAGTAATATGCCATCTACTGTTATCATGAGAAGAGCTGTCCTTCATTCTGATATTATATCCTTTTACTTTTTTGATATTAACATATATTTTCTTTTAAAAAATGGCTAACAACCAGATACTTTTGGACTTTACTTGGAAAAATTAAGTAGCTACCATATATCATTAGCATCTTTGGATTGCACTGGACTACTAACCAGTTTGCACTTAACTATTATCAGGGTCCTGGTGTGGCGCTGAGGATTAATGTGCTGGACTGCAAAGTTGGTTTGAACCACAAAGTCAGAGGTTCAAGTTCACCAACCACTCCACAGAAACCCAATATAGGGTTGCTATGGGTTGGAACCAACTCAATGGCATTTAGTAACAACAATATTGGTACTGTAGGATAAGCAGTAGACTGCTAACTGCATGGTTGGTAGTTCAAACCCACCAGCTGCTCCTTGGGAGAAAGATGAGTCTTTCTGTTTCTGTAAAGATTTACAGTCTCAGAAACTCTATAGCATTGTTATGAGTCAGAATCCACTCAGTGACAGTGAGTTTATTAATTGAAAGGTTGGTAGTTCAAATCTCCCCAGAGGCACTATGGAAGACAGGCCTGGTGATGTACTTCTGTAACGATTACAGTCTAGAAAACCCTATGGCAGCCACAAGGTAGTTCTACTTGGCAAGCCCGCTATTTACAGAGGTGGACAAGGACAGTAAGTCAGTAACACCCCTTGAGGCCATTGTCACACTCCCCACTGCAGACCTGCCTTCAGAAATCCAAGTCAGGATTTTCTATACTTCTCCTCATCCTTCTTCATCCCAATGGAGACTCAGCTCAGCCTCACCCACTTGGCCCCGCTGAGATCAGTGCTGTGCTCAGGCTGAGGCATGTGAGGAGATGGCCTTGCAGTGTAAGGTCTCAGAGGCACCTCAGAGCTTGGCACAGGCCTGACCATGCGAAGTGACTGTAAATGGGACCTGGATTGCTCTGTACCTGCTTCCTACCTGCTGTGTAAGAGACACCACTGTCTTCATAGGCGTTTTCTGAATCTCTTGACAGAAAAGCCTCAGGAGATAATCACATTTGGGTTGAAAAATCAGTGCAACAAAGAACTTAGATTGACCAAAATCAAGTTGTGTCTAATGAATCAGAAGGCACTAGGGCCAGAAGACTTGCTCTGTTGATGAAGTTTAGATGGCCTGAAGGCATGTGGCAGAGTCATTGGGACTCAGTTTGCTGCTGTCGTTGTGTGCCATTGAGTCAGTTCTGACTCATATCAACCCTGTATGGGGTTTCAGAGGAGTAGCTGTTGAGTTTGAACTGCTGACCTTTCATTTAGCAGTCCAGTGACTCTGGGACTCACTTTACACCTTATAAAAAAATTGAGTGAATCAATGCAATAAAAATCCCATGACTGTGTGCTTAGATTTCATGGATAATTGCTTCTGAGACCAAACAGATTCTTACTTAGCCTTCTCAATAAGGGGCAATGACAGGGGGACATGAGTACAGCTGACCAGGACTCGGACTTAGGAGGATCCAGAGTGTGCCAGGAAAACAGAAGAGGCTTGGGGGCAAATCCATCTAATGGGTAGAGATAATGGCCTGGGACACTCTTCCTCCAAGTATCCTTTTCCTGGTCACCTCCTGTCCATCCCAGGAGACCAGTCTGAATTAGCCTTCCCAGTTATCTGTTCTGAGTCCTGAACATCTCTTTTGTTAAGTAATAACTTGTAATACTAGTTACAAAATGGTGTTTTCCCTGACTGTGGTGGAGATGGGAGTGAGGGCTGTCTTGCTCACTACTCATTCCCTGATGTGGGACACAGGGAAGATCCTCAAAGTCTATGGCTAGATGGGTGTGGTTACACTGGATGAGACAATCCATAAAAGAGGCACTTGGGTTGCGCATGAACCAGGAGAGCCCTGCATTATGGAAGCCCAGTGGGACTCAGTGGGTCTGAGGTGCTTATTGGTGGTTAATGAACATGGCAGTAGGGAACACTAAGTGCCACAGAAAGAAGGCTATTCTCTTCTTCATCTCTTAGTTTTCTTCTAAGCAACGAGAAGGACTTAGGATGGAGCCAGGTTTTTGGATCTCCTTTACAACAGCAGTTCCAAGAAAGGGCAAATGAAAGTGAAAGTCAGCATCCAAAGACTTGGTTTTAATTTTGATGGTAGTGATCTAATTATTTTTTAAGGGAAATTAACTGTAAAATATCCATGAGGTAAATAAATGACCAGGGGGTGCCTGGAGATGGTCAAGTTGAAAAGGTGGTGCTCAGATCCTGGTTTGTAAGGTGTTTTGCTTTTTCTCCTTCTGCTTAAATTTTTCCTCTAAGGCTTGAGAGATGGGGATCCTGTCAGGATTCCAGGCTAAGGAGTGTCCTCTGGCATTCTGCATTCAGGTTTCTGTGAGCTGTTAGTCCCCATCCATTCACCAATAAATTCACCACTTTGCTGAGGGCACGCCCTGTGCTGGCCAAAATTGTGCTAGACCAGGGGTGGCCTCATCCCTGAGGGGCACACAGGTTACAGGGGAGTAGTTCAGGACAGAGGAATCTTGGCTCAGTGCCAGGACTCAGGAAGACTCCCTGGGGGACGAGATGTCTGGGAAGGGGCCTGGGTCATATATGGAGCAGAGACACTTGGAGCAGAGAATCAAGGGCAAAGGCATGGAGACAAAAAGGCGCCTGTGTCAAGCCCTGTGACCGGAGCTCTGTGGGTCAGGAAGGAAGGTAGTACTTGCATTTATGCATGAGCCCCTGTGGGCTTGACAGTGGCCACTCTGACAGTGAGGACCAGAGGGCAAAGACCAGCGCAGGGGTCCAGAGGTGTTTATGGGTAGCCGCTCTGAGAAGACTCAGAGATATACAGCCAGCACCCACGGATCCTGAAGACAATGGTGGATGAAGTAGGGTGGATGGGAGGCCAGCCAAACATTGAGCAGGTGGAATCTGAATTTACATCTACTTACTTTGAGATTCACATCTCCTTCCTTCTGAGGAGGGATTTTAAGTGCCACGCCTTTATTTATATGTTTTTAAATTTTTATTTTTAATTAATTAAAAAGAATGAGACAGCAGCAATGGGTTCAAACATAGTAACAACTGTGAGGATGACGCAGGTTTGGGCAGTGTTTGATTCTCAGGGTCCTATGAGTTGGAACTAACTTAATCTCACCACTAATTTCATTTATTTATTTAGATTAACACCCAGTGGTAAAAGGGCATCCAGAAAATAGCATTATCCCCTCAGGCTTGTTTTTCAGTCTGCCAGTTCCCCCTAGAGAGGGATTGCTAGTTTCTGGTGATATTTCTGTGTGTGTGTGCATATAAATTTCCTTGTCCCTTTTCTTCCCTTAAAAACAAAACAAATAATTGCATCTATAAACATTATTCTGGGACCTGTACAAAGAGAATTACAAAACACTGCTAAAAGAAACCAAAAGAGACTTACAAAAGTGGAAGAACATACCATGTTCCTGGATAAGAAGACTCAACATCGTGAAAATGTCAATACTACCCAAAGCAATATACACATATAATGCAATCCCAATCCAGATTCCAGAGACATTCTTCAAAGAGATGGAAAAGACAATTACAAATTTTATATGGAAAGGAAGAGACCCAGGATAAGCAAGGCACTGCTCAAGAAGAAGTGCTCTCATGCCCCAATTTCAAAATCTACTACACTGCTACAGTGGTCAAAACAGCCTGATACTGGTACAATGATCAGTGGAAAAGAATCAAGAATCCAGAAATTAACCCATCCACATACAGCTAACTGATTTTCGACAAAGTGCCTAGGTATGTTACATGGGGAGGAGATAGTCTATTTAACAGATGATGCTCGCAGAACTGGAAAGCAATACACAAAAGATTGAAACAAGACCTTTACCTGACACCCTATACAAAACCATCTCAGCATGGATTAAAGGCCTAAATGTGAATCCCAAAATTATGAAAGTCATCAATGAAAAAACA